ATGGATTTTACAAAAAAATGAAATTATTATTTTTAAAAAAAAAGTATGTTTTTATTTTGTAAAATCTATCTTACCCACATATTAAATTGTTGTAATATTTATTGATTTATTTTTCGAACTTTATCTGTTGCTATGGGCTACTGCCTCCTCTATAGTATGTAACAATAATGATGATGATAATAATAATAATAATAATAATAATAATAAAACTATACATACTATAGAGGAGGCTGTAACCCATAGCAACAAAGAAAGAGCGAAAAATAAATAAATAAACTTAACAAAAATGATAAAACATATAGCTATATGAGTTAATATGTGGGTAAAGACTGATTTTACGAAAACAACAAACACTAGATTGGGCTTAAAATACATTACAAGCAGTAAAGTACCCCAGATGAAACAATCGGAATATATATTTTTTTTTTCATCACTTTCAACACCTCAATTCAGGATTTTGCTTGTGAATAGGAGTTGTGCAAACGGTCTAAACAATGAAATACTTATCCGTACAATCACGTGACGCCCCAGCAGGCGTGTCTGTGTGCAGGTTGTATGACTACAGGCAGGTGCCATGCCTCTCTACTAAAGATGGAGTCATGGCTTCTACCTTTTGTGAAGAGTGCTCCCGACTGCTCAAAGAATTTGTTGTTCATCTGAGGAATTTCTGCAGAGAATTTTGGCAGGAAATAAGAGACATTTTCAGGGAGCTGTCACAGTGCACGTGCTTCAGGACTACACCTGAGACGAGTTTCCTGAGGAGGACGACTCAAGAGCTGTCCTCTTTACACCTGCTGTATGGTAGGAACATTGTAGTCGTTTATTTTCTTTGTTGTAGACAGCTTTGTGTGGAGAGCAAACACACCTGTGCAGACCTAATCTGTCTTTTTTATTTGTGAGGCAAAGTGTACACAGTGGATATAGATCTTTGAACAGTGTATTTGTAACTTAAGGAAATAGATTTTGTTCCTTTTTTGTCATAAAAGTGACTAATAAAACCTTTGTGCTTGTTATTTACACAAGTTATGTACAAAATCACCTCTATACCTAAATATTTATCTACAGTATGTTAATCTGCTTGTTCTTTCAGATGATGAAACTCAACTACTTAATCAAGAAAGTCTGCAATCACTGAGCAGACTTGCAGCCTCAGAGAACACTGATCTTCAAATGACTGCTTCCTTGTATTATTTACATCTCAGTCATCACTGTGAGTAAAGAAACCAAGCAGATTTTTATGTTGCTTTACTATCTGCATTATAGCAATGCCTTACAGATCCGTGGCACATAAAATGAGACCATTGTTTGCACTTCAGGTTTCTCATATCACTCACTGTAGAGATAAGCTCTGGAACGGGTATGACTGGTATCATGCAAATTTTCAACTGTAATTTTTTTTTTTTCAGGGGTTGGCAAGGAACTCCCAACATTTGTGGACTTTGGTGTCATTGTGATGAAAGCATAGATGGGTTTTATTTTGAAATCCAATGTATGATATCCTATAAGTGGAAACTGCAGAAGTAATGGTTCATATGAAGTATTGAACTATTTCTTGCAGCCCAGTTTCCTCCTTTGTCAGCCCATTGTATTGCACGCAAATATGTGACCATGTGTACTTTGCATTAACGTGGCAGTTTACAGATTCCTGTGTGTACATGGTTGAGGTTGATAGAAGACAGATATGTCTTTTAGAACTTGAATTCAAAACCAACCACTAGTCACATATGTTATGTTTATAACTAACGTTTGGCTTAGCAAGTGAGACTGACCGCTAATCGATACTGTGTTCTTGGCTATTATAAAAATACTTTGGGCACCAAAACATTTAGCTGGTTCAACTAAAATTCTACTTTATTTGTCTTTTCCCTATTTTGCTCTATATGTAATTGTGTGTTACAGTGAAATCCCCTCTACCAGATGCCTTCATGGAGCCAGTAATGGCCTTACTTCTATCAGCAGACCTAGATGTGCAGAAGACTATCTCACTCTCATTAGTCAATCTGTTAGTCAAGGACAATGGTAAGCGATAACAGTTACAAGATATTTAAAGTATTGTCTTTTGTTGATTCATAATCTTCAAAGGAATATTTCACACACAAAATGACCTTTTGCATGTCAAATAGTTATCCTGTGTAACCTTACATTTTTGAGGAAAACTTTTTTTCCTGCATGCCTTTACTGAAAAAAGCGAAAATATTGATTAATTGATTGACTGGGGACCACGTTTAACAACACCAAAACTATATCAACACATCTGCTGAAAACGCTCAAACAACTTGTGCTGTATAATCCAAGTCTCCTGTATACAGTTGTATGGTCAGTACTTCCCAAAAGCATGCAACAAAACTTAGTATTGGATTCTGGCTTTGAGGGGAGCATAGATAGGTTTCACTTTATGTTAGAGGTTGGATATACAAATGGTCATTTCTGGGGTTGAAGTATTTCTTTAAACTCTCCTCTTCATTCAAGTTGTTTTAATTGTTAAAAAATAATGCATCACAGCTTTCACCTGAAATTTATGTGAATCAGATGGTCTTAAATACTGTCTATGAAATCTGATTTCAGTGTGCAAAGAGTTGGTGATTGAGATGGGGATGCTGGTGCCCATACTGGAGTTGTTCCAGTCTGGTGATGCTGCTGCTCAGTGTCACTCATGTGCCTGCATCGCCATGTTGGCCTCCTCAGGTTTGTACAGACTGGGAGGCATCTGTCTTCAATTCTTTAAATTGTTTAATAGTTTTCACGCACATGGGCAGATTGTGAGACAGGGGTGGCTGTGTTCAGAGGTAGAGTGGATAGTTCATTGGTGGTTTGATCCCCCGCTCCTCCCATCTGCATGTTCTTGGGCAAGATACTGAACCCCAGATTACTCCCAATGGCCGATGGCCCCATTGGTGTGCGAGTGTATGTAAATAGCTACTGAGGGGCAGGTGGCATAATGTGTGGTAGCCTCGGCCACCAGTGTGTGACTATATGTGACTGTGACATGTAGTGTAAAAGCGGTTTGAGTGGTCGGAAGACTAGAAAAGCACTGTACAAGTGCAGTCCATTGTCCAGTTACCATTTGACTCCTGGGCACAGACACGCAGATGCCCCCACCACCTCTCCTGTACAGGAACAAGACATAGATTTTATAGTTGGCATGCTTTTTTTGTTCTGTTTCCTTTGTGTCTGTGGTTGTTTTGCTCATTTTTTGTAGTCATTTGCATCTTTTTGTAGTCATTGTAAGTATCTTTGTAGTTGGTTTCTGTCTCTTTGGTCTCTTGGTCACTTTGTGTCTCTTTGTGGTTGTTTTGCCCCTTTTTGTAGCCATAATGAGCCTCTTTGTGTCTCTTTGCAGCTGTTTGGCATCTCTTTGTAGTCCTTTTGAATCTTTTTGGAGTTGCTTTGCATCTCTTTGTAGTCATTTTATGTGTCTTTGTGGTTGTTTTGCCCCTTTTCGCAGCCATTGTGTGTTTTTTTATGTCTCTTTGCATTTTGTTGTTGTATATGTAATTCTGCACACTGCCACATATACTGTATGAGCTTGTACTGGAAGACAAATGAGAATATTCAGAGGATGCTGCCGCATGGCAACATATAGAGATGTCAGAAAGGTGAAACAAAAAAAAAGGTGCTTCATAAAATGCCTCTCTCTGCATCATCAGTATTTTAGTCTTATTCATCCTGGCTCACCCAAAATGCTTACATGTGTATGACTGCAGAGAAACAGCATGCAGTTGTAGCTCTGTCTGTACCAGCTGAGCATATGTGGAGATTTTTCTTTCTTTTCATACAGAATCAAACAGAGAGGCCATCATGGTGGATGGAATCATACCGCTGTTGGCTTTAGCAAAATCCTACGACCCACAGGTGCAACAGAACGCCACTTGGGCTCTGTTACATCTCACACAGTCAGGTAGGATCATTTTCTCTAAATCTCAGAAGGCTAAGTCTAAAGCTGCTATGGTCATGTTCTTTTGAGTGTTACTTTGTATGAATTTAAAATGGAAACCAG